AAATGCTGTCACCCCGCGTCCATCTTGGTCAACTAAAAGCGCTAACGTTCGAGTGTCCACAACAGTTCCATTCAGCGAGACTCAGTATGAGGCCATGAACTTTGCATTGTGGCACAGCATTGGTAACGAAATCCTGATCAAGAGCAACATCAACATCTGGGTCGCATGCAAGGAACGTACTGGTAGCTTGGTGCATTGGAAGGCGGGATCAGTTTCTTGTAAACTGGTGAAGCAGGTTTCTAAACATTGCACTGGAACGGTACCAAAATCCCTGCATCTCTTTAATTCCGGACCTTCCCTCTATGTTGCTAGTAATTATTACGTCTTTGATGGCGACAGAAGGATGAATTGGCCTACCCATGATTCCTGTGGTGCAAATCGACAAAACCAGCTTAAAAATGTACCGAACCCACACGGGAACATTTTTCTCCGTTGAAAACTTATGAAAGTCTTACATCGCGTAAGGGTGTATATTCTGTAAGCGACAGCAGTGAAATCTTCCGCTCAGAAGTTTCAAAGCTAATAAAGAAGAGATCTTGATTATAAGATATTAGTGCCTGATTTGTTTTAGGCACCACTTCCCAGCAGTTGGGCAACACTCCCAAGCGTTAACAGTGAGACCTTTGGCAAAGAATTTCGACCTGTAGCGAGACTTCCTTCGTAATGTTTTTAAGCACTGTTCTGGATTATTTCAACCAGCTCTCAAGAGCTTTGGCCGACCTTTTTAAAATTTCTGTCTGAAGAAAGGGAAAAGCACTAATCTTATATTCAAAAATTTATATTAGCAATTATTTGAAAACCCTACACCCAAGGTGTATGTTGAGATAAAAATGCTTAATTTTTTTATGTGCTATTGCAGGAATTTTTCTGAATAATTGTCATTTTAAGAATACTCTTTACAAAGATCATCTGGCTCTCCAATGTGTTTCTTCAAATGATGATACAATGTTAAAGTTTGTCTGCAAAACCGTCTTCCTATGCATGATCACAAACTATTCACTAGCACAGCGGACACTCTCCAGACNTTGCTTGATCTGTTTCGCCCAGGTCACTGTGTAAACTACCCAGATTGTTGTAAGAGGCTGCAACCTTAACATGATCAGGTCCCAGCTTCTTCAGACGAATCTCCAGTGCATGATTATAGTAGTCTTTTGCTTGATCTGTTTCGCCCAGGTCACTGTGTAAAATACCCAGATTGTTGTAAGAGGCTGCAACATCAGCATGATCAGGTTCCAGTTTCTTCAGACGAATCTGCAGTGCACGCTTAAGTAGCCTTTTGCTTGATCTGTTTCGCCCAGGTCACTGTGTAAATTACCCAGATTGTTGTAAGAGGCTGCAACATCAACATCATTAGGTCCCAGCTTCTTCAGATGAATCTCCAGTGTATGATTATGGTAGTCTTTCGCTTGATCTGTCTCGCCCAGGTCACTGTGTAAAATACCCAGATTGTCGTAAGAGGCCGCAACATTAACATGATCAGGTCCCAGCTTTTTCAGACCAATCTCCAGTGCAAGCCTATGGTAGTCTTCTGCTTGATCTGTTTCGCCCAGGTCACTGTGTAAATTACCCAGACTGTTGTAAGAGGCTGCAACATCAACATGATCAGGTTCCAGCTTCTTCAGATAAATCTCCAGTGCATGATTATGGTAGTCTTTTGCTTGATCTGTTTCGCCCAGGTCACTGTGTAAATTACCCAGATTGTTGTAAGAGGCTGCAATCTTAACATGATCAGGTTCCAGCTTTTTCAGACGAAGCTCTAGTGCATGATTATGGTAGTCTTTTGCTTAATCTGTTTCGCCCAGCTTCGTATGTATAATACCCAATTTGCGGCAATTTGCTGCTTTTTTGGGTCCCCTTCTTCGTGACTTGATTCAATCATTTTTAACAGCAATTTATAATAGACTATCGCTGCTCCAAACTCACTGTGGTCATGGCACATGTCAACGAGGGTGCAAAGGCCACCAGGGTAAGAACTCAAAGACTTAAGTGCTCCTTCGGAGGATTCTGGCTTTTCTCTTCTAATTAACACATGTTCAAGTTTTAAGCTTAACATCTTTAAATGGGGAGCTAATTTTGTTCCCACATCAATAGAGTCTAATTTTTTATATCTTGAGAGTGACATGACAGCCCCATATACCACTTTGTAAACTTCATCCTTTCTGCAATCTTTCGTCGCAGATTTAATAACATCGTGAACAACACCATGAGCTCGAATATAGACACCACTCACTTTTTCTTCTTCCTCTTCTTCTTTTTCTTCAATCAGCAATAATGAACATTGATTCATTCTCATTCTTATCATATCTTCATCTTCAAAATCTTCATCTACTGCTCTGATGTACTCGATAACAGCTTCTTGAAGGATCGGCTGTAATGCACACACAGAGAGAAAATTGAAGATGTGATGGAAAATTATATCGTCCGCCATCGCCTTTTCGACAGCGAGTGTTATTACTTTGGTCATGGAGTTTGGATAGCTTGGATTGCTCTCAGCAAGTCTGATTTCAGTAGCACTTCGTTTCCCCTCTTCCAATTTCTTCAGGTAGTCGCTCCAGCCAAA